TGTGTGTGTGTGTGTGTGTGTGTGTGTGTGTGTGTGTGTGTGTGTGTTCTAACTCAAGACTCTCTGGACTTGAAAGAACTCTAGCAACTGTTAAATTGCTGTGGGGTGTAAGAAAACAAATAGAAAGATGAGTCACTGACTTCTGCCATGGAACATCAGCTGCTCATGAATGAATCTGCACAATCAGTGTTATTCCAGAATCCTCAGAGCTTCCATCTCGAAACCCAACAAAAAATGTTTTGATACTCACTTGAAAGAATACAGTTTTGAAAAAAATATATAAACATAGGACAATAAGTTATGAAATTGTAATAATTTTACAGGTTAAATAAAAATGGCCTCATAATCTTCAGGCAGGTGTCGGCCCCACTTGTGCCAACCATTACAGCTTGACAAGAGGAGCACCATGGGGAGGGCTGCTCTCAGCTGACGTTGGGATGGCTGGGGGCCTCGAGGCAGCAGAGTGGATCTGAGCCTCCACGCTCACAAAAGAAAGCATGGTTCTATTAAACATGAAGTGTAAAATCATGAGAGAGCATAGTTTAAATACAAGTGGATATTTATCTCCTTTCATGGTAGGAAAGGCCTTTTTATGCACCCACAAACACCATAGTCCAAAAGAAGGGTGCAGGCTTCGTCATAACAACAAAAAAAAAAAATCAGTGTGAAACAAGCAACACTGCACACACTTGGCAGTCAGTGAGGCAATAGTCTGCCTCAAATGGCTGTGGTGGTGTTTGCCAGCGTGGGTTGGCTTCCTGATATGTAAATTAAAGTGGTCTCGGGATGTATTATATTTTGCCGGTCAGATTTTCTCCCAGGGTAGTGTCCAACATTGGTGACTGTGCAGGGAAGGGAAACAGAATTATAAGGTGTGGTGTGATGGGGCTGGAGAGCTGGCCCAGCAGTTAAGAGTGCTGAAGCTCTTCTGCAGACCTGAGTTCAGTTCCCAGCACCCACATCAGGTGGTTTACCACTGTAACTCCAGCCCCAGGGAATCTGATGTCACTTTCTGGCCTCTGAGGGCCTCCACTTGGCACACTCAGACACATACAAACAAAATAACACTTATGTAGCTGTGGCTGTCCTGGAACTCACTGTGTAGACCAGGCTGGCCTCAAATTCATAGAGCTTCACCCACCTCTGGAGTGCTGAAATTGAAGGTGTGAGCCACCATGCCTGGCCCAGGAAAACCAGGATTGTTTAGGTTATTTGAGGTAGGATTATATGCCTTTAGTCCAATTTTTTTGAGGTGGAAAATTTAACCTTCATTCTGGGTCACGCTTTGTGCTGGAAGCCTATATTAAGGACACGGAAGAAGAAAGCTGGCTTTCTTTGCATGCTTGCTCTCCTTCTCATTAGCAAGTCTGTCCTGTCACTGCCATTGGAGCCTCCTCCTTTGGGATTCCAGCATACACTGAAGACCACCTGAGACGTTCAGCCTCGTGGACTGAGCAACTACTGGATTCTTGGACTTTTTGTTTATAGCCAGCCATTGTTGGACTGGTTGAACCACAAGGCTGTGCTACTCTTACAAATCGCACACACACACACACGCACACACACGCACATAAACACACACACACTAGATTTATTAGAATAACTTACAGGCTGTGGTTCAGTTAATCCAATGATGGCTGGCTATGAATGAAAAGTTCAAGAATCCACTAGTTGCTCAGTCCCCAAGGCTGGGTATCTCAGCTGGTCAGTAGACATCAGAATCCAGAATCCAGAATCCAGAATCCAGAATCCAGAAAGAAGGAGGAGAAGGAGAAAGAAGAAGAAGATGGCAGCTCTAATGTCAATGAAGGAATGGACTTGCTAGCAAGGTTGAGAGCAAACAGGCAGAGAGAGCGAGAAAGAACACGAGAGAAAGAGACATAGAGAAAGGGGGAGAGCTTCCTTCTTCCATGTGCTTTCAGCAGAAGCTGTGACCCAGATCAAAGTTGCGTCTTTGCACCTCAAAGATCAGGATTAGAAGTGGATCTTACTACTTCAAATTCAGCAAAATTCCCCCACAGGTGTGCCCTCCACTTTTTGACTTTAGTTAATTCCAGATGTAGTCAAGTTGGCAACCAATAATAGCCATCACAGATGGTGAAAATCGCTTACAGCCTCATGGGGCTGTGGGTGAAGCCAACACCATGGCTCACTCACTTAGGAGATGTGGTATAAACCTTCAAAAACAGAGGCAGTGAAGGCCCAGCATGAGCACCTGCTGCTGCTGCTGGTGGCAGCCGCAGGAAGCCAGGACATCAGAGGCCTGCCATGCTTGCCTTCCTGAGCACTGGCTCTGGGCTCAGTCACCGGTGTTGACCGAAAGCACCTACCCCCACTGAGCAGCCCCTCCCTAGTTTATAGTCTAAGAAGGTCCAAAGAGGGCTGGAAACTTTGAAAGAAAAGAAGCCTGCCTGACAACCACATCTCCTTCGCAGCTGCTCACCTATCTGAGTTCAATCCCCAGGACCTCTGTGGTATAAGGAGAGAACTAACTCCTGAAACTCGTCTTCTGACCTCCACATGTGTGTTGTGGCAAGGGCACATACACACACTCACACAGCACACACACACTTACCCACCCACCTACCTGTGTGTGCACAAAATAAATGACTAAATATTAAAAAATAGTGAAAGGGCTGGAGAGATGGCCCAGCAGTTAAGAGCACTGGCTGCTCTTCCAGAGGACCCAGGTTCAATTCCCAGGTCATGGCAGCTCACAACTGTCTATAACTCAAGGTCCAGTGGCTCCAACTCCCTCATACACATGCATACACATAGGCCAAACACTAAGTGTACATAAGAATAACCAACTAACTAAAATTAAAAGATAGTGAAGCACCCCCTCCATATTCTTTATCTAGGGCTGGATCCTGGAGGGCATCCCTGAGACTCGGGAGCAGGCACTGATGATCCAGACCCTGGGGCTGGCGCCCAAGCATGTCAGTAAGTACAGCCCTGGCCCCAGCTGCCCTGAGCATGCAGTGTGAACCCTGTTCTTTAGCCCTGGCTGCCTCTCATTGTCTACTCTGGGCCTGGGGGCCAGGGGGGTTTCAAGGGCCTGGGATCCAGCAAGAAAAAGACACATCAGGTGAACTCTAGCCCCAACCACATAGCTACATGTGCTGAGAGCTTGTCATTAAGAAAAGCAGAGTCCCTTGTGTCAGGAATCCCCCTGCTGTGGGCCTCTTTATGAGACCAAGGAAAGTGGGACAGGGTCGAATCACAAAGATGTCTACACGGTGACTTTCCTCAGTGAAACCTGACGGCCAGGGACGTGCTCCACTGTGGACTGGTCTCAGAATGGTTTAGTGCCATCTGGGGTGGGGGGTGACATGGGGAAGGTCTCAGACATGTGGCACCTGAGCCCAGCACACCAGGTTTGTTCCTTTTTTCTCTGCCCAGTTGTGCTTAATGCTCCCGACACAGTCCTGATTGAGAGAAACGTGGGGAAGAGGATTGACCCTGTCACTGGAGGTACGATGCCCCACCCCATCCCACTCTCTCTCTAGGCATTCAGGGGTCCACACAGCTGAGAGGGCCTGTCTCAGAGCCAGAAGCCACCGAGAACAGAAATCCCTGCCGGCTGAGAGGCATCGCTGTCTTTTCTTTTCTTGGGACAAGGTTTCGTATAGTCTAGGTTGGTCTTGTGCTTGCTCTGTAGGCAAGGATGACCTTGAACCTCTGAACCTCCTGCCTCCATTATAGAAGGCCTGAGAACAGAGAGCCCCTGAAGGTCCCCGCTTCAGAACGTCCTGGAGGAGGAATGGTATGCCAGGTGTAGGTTTGAGAGAGCTGTTATGACTCTATCAAATCTTGTAATTAGTCACAAACCATCACCCTGGTGAATGGGGTGCTGGGACTGAGCCCAGGACCTTGTGTACCTAAGGCAAACACTACTTCTGCTAAGCTCCATCTATCCCCACCCTGTTGTTTTTATGGTTAGGAATAACAGCTGGCGTTATTCACGCACTGTTGTTAGTGAGAACATTTGCTGGCTCTGAAGGTCAGCCACACCCCTGGGCAGCAAGACAGGAAGTGCAGCAGCCCTGGGTGGTATCTAAGCCTATGCCTCTCCTGTGCAGAGATCTACCACACCACCTTTGACTGGCCCCCTGAGGCCGAAGTTCAGAACAGGCTGATAGAGCCAGAGGGCATCTCAGAGATAGAGACGGCGAAGAAGCTGCTGGACTACCACAGGAACATTGTCAGGATCCTTCCTTCATACCCCAAATTCCTGAAAACCATCAGCGCAGACCAGCCATGTGTGGACGTCTTCTACCAGGGTAAATACAGCGAACTGTCCCACCTCAGAGCCACACAGGGCCGAGATGCTCTCAACACCTGACTGTTGTTTTTAAACAAAATCCCGAACATCTGATTTTGCCAATAAAGACTCAGGAGCCAGATGTGGAGTGAAAGCCTACTAGCTCAGAGAGGCAGAGACGGCAGCCAGCTGACCTTCCTACTCAGCTGACATCCCAGAAGGAAAAGCACCTTCTCCATGCTGTCTTAAGAACCCTCCAAACTGAATGTCCCTCTTTTCTACTTCCTTTCTGTTTCTCTATACATCCTCTGGACTTCCTCTCACTCTGTTTTTTTCTTAAGTTCACTCCCGGTCAGCTGGCTGCTTGCTCTGCCTCTTGACCTATGGTTGACTTAATTTTATCCTGCTTACAGAAAGCTCTTGGATTAAAGGTGTGTGCTAGGGCTGAGCCACCACAACTAGAAATAGGTTTTTCCAGTACACAATCTCGGGATTCACAGTGTGATCAAATATCCTGCAAAACCTGACTCCCTCCCCATCCCAACGTCCGTCAGGCTGGCAACAGCAGTGGCTGGGAGTGTGGGCACCCTGGGAGGCCGGTCACTAATGGGCTATGCAGGGACCCGTAGAGACCCTGGACTGATCCTGACACCTGGGTGTGGCTATATCCCGAGCTCACAGAGGGTTTGACAATGTGTGGGTGTAAAGAATGGGAGGGGCATGATGGTAGCAAGGTTCTGAGGCCTGATCTTGAAGGAGAAGAAAATGCAAAGATTAAAGGCAAAAACACATTTATCAATGCAAAGCAGGCAAGGTGATTCGGTGATCCAGGATAAGCTGCTCGCTGCCCACTGACATACTGCAAGGCTGTCCACATACTTGACAGCTGCCCAAGGGCAGCCTTGCAGAAATGGGATATTTATAAATACTAAAGGAATATTTAAGTTTTGGTATCTCTAAATCCATTATCTTCTTCTGTCTGATACCAGAAGAAAAAACATTTAGAGTGTTTTGGCACAGTAAAATGACAGCAGACACTGAGTCCCTTGATGACCCTTTTCTCTTAGGCTCCTTCAAGTCTCTTCAAGGAAGAGAAAACCTGATATGATAGTGGAGTTCAGCTGGCAGCGTGCTCAAAATGCTGGCTTCCACATAAACCTGGCGTAGTGGCATACACCTGCAATCCCAGGTGTAGGCTGATTCAAACAGGAGGGACAGAAGTTCAAGGTCATCTCTGTTACATAAAGAGGCCACCCTGGGCTGCATAAGACCTGTGTTTAAAAAAGAAAAAAAAAAACCTCACTTTAAGCTGAGTGTGGAGGTGTGTCCTTGTGAAGCCCATACTTAAGATGTTGAAGCAGGAAGACGGGCAAGCTGAGGCCAGCCTGGGAAGCAGAGGGGGAGCCTGTTGCAAATAGTCTAATTTTAATTTGAAAAGCCCACACGCATGGCTTTCCATGGCTCCACACGCTTGCCAAGCCTGTCCAAGGCTGTCCCTGCAACATCATCTTCAGCTGTGCATCAAACTTGAGGCCAGTCGGGGCTACAGGAGACCCTGTCATAAAGGGAAAACAAGTAGTGTTTGCTTTGCAAGCATCAGAGCCTGAAGTTACGTTCCAGCAGGTGTGACAGTACATGTGATCCCAAGGCTGGGAGGTACAGACAGACAGATCCCAGCCTCACCTACTGGGTTCTAGGCCAGTGTGACTTTGTTTCTAGAAGCAAGGTGGATGGTTTCTGAGATTGTCCTCTGACTTCCACACAAATGTATACACATGTTCCTGTGCGCCTGTGTGCAAGCAAACACACACACTCATGCACGCACAAACACACGTGCACCCCAGGAAAGGCCCTCTGCAGCCCTCTGTGGCTGGGGCCTCTGCACACTCTGAGGCAGACCAGGCCCTCTACCAGCCACCATGACTATCCGGCAGGCATTGGGAAGGAGGGGCTGCTTGCCGTGTCAGGTTGAGGCCGCCTTGCAATCTTCCGGAGCTTTGCATCTCAGAAAGATCTTTAGCAGCAAACACATGCTCTTAAGATAAACATCTACCACATTTATCTTATGCCACGGTTTTGTGAGTTTGCACATTAATTACTCCTAAATTACTTAATTAAATTTAAAAGTTCATATGATCATTCATAAAGAATTCATGCCTGGAATTGTAAATAAAAACGTGAGCATCTAAATATTAATTATTATTAATTAATAATGTGAAGAGATAAATTGAAAATCAGGCTGCAAGATTCCCTCTGTGTTGTTTATTTAATCTCTTCTCAGTGCATCCAGCAGCCGTCTATTTCCAGAAAGAATAGCTGGATGTGGGACTGTCTGGGGGATCGTTACTTCTAATTAACTTAGTTATTTACTGTAAATTAGGCATCGTTTGCAAGCAGGCTGCGTCACTGTAGTGTGTGTGCTTTTCAGGGGTGCTGGACTGTGGAAGGCTTGAGCTTGGAAGCCATGCAAGGGTACCCTGCTTTGGGCTGTCCTAGAGGAGGACTGGAACCCCAGCTCTGAGAGGCGCCATGGCTACACTACACACTGTGCTGGTGGTCTATATTCGAGAACAAGACGGATAGCTCCCTCGTGGGATGGCAGACTGAGCAGATGACCATTTAACTTAGCAGTTCCCACATGTTGCCCATGGTCTGATGTGCCCATGACAGTGGTGACCATAGCCTTGGGGCAGTCAACTTTAACTCACCTGTGCTGCTAGTTCCGAAAAGAGGGAACTGTAAGTCCTAGTGACTAGTGAAATAGTCCTGTAATGATGCCAAGTTCAGGCCAGGGGGGACAGCTTAGCCAGCAGGGTGCTCAGGGACACATGAGGGTCCGAGTTTTCGTTCCCAGCAGCTGTGTTTAAAAGGGGCTGGTGAGATGATCATCCATAAAGGCACTTGCTACTGAGGCTGACAGCTTGAGTTCAGTCCCCAGGACTCACGTGGTAGAAGGAGAGAGCTAACTCCCTAAAATTGTCCTTTGACCTCCTCACAGGCACTGTGGCATGTGTATGCACACAAACAGACAAATTCACTTTAAAAAGATACATCAAAGACGGTAATCCTAGTTACAGGCCTGTAATCCTACTTATGGGGAAACAGAGACAGGTAAACTCTAGGTTCAGTGACTAAGACATTGACCTGGCAGCTTCATATGTGGGTGCTTGCATGTGCACATTCACACCCCCACATAAACACAAACATAAACATGTAGACCCGTGTAGACACCATACACACAATCTCCCTCTCCCAAAGCTCCAAAGTCTGTGTATGAACAACTACTCCTGCTTCTCTGTTGGGCTCCGTTTTGCCTCACCATACCATTCACCCTCCAGGGGAGACATTGGACCATGCCTGAACACGTTTACTGGCCATGCTACGGGAACCCTGTAAAAAGAGACCAGCATGGGCTTCAGATGCCCCGATAACCAAACTCCATAGTAGACACACCTACGCGTTCTTCCTTAAGCCATCTTCCTGAAGGTGACATGTTGGCCCAGCCCTTCCTCAGGACAGGATCTCCTTGCCAAAGGAAGAGTGGCAGATGCCACTCACAGCTGGCCTTGCACAGGACAGTCTGGGGGCCTTGGCAGGAGGTGAGGCCTTGGGGAGGGGACCTTGTCTTGAAGGCTGTTTGGTGGGTAGCTGCCCTGTGCCGGTCCCCACCAGGCCGATGTCTGTTCTCCCAGCTCCCCTTTTCCCTGTGCAAGCTTGGTGGGAAGTACCTCCTCCCTGAACTTCCTGGCATTGTGTGCCTTCCCACAGTGAAGACTCCTCATTGTTCAAGATGCTCACCCCTGTCTTCCCACCTCTCTCTTCATCAAATGCCAGGAGAGCAGCACAGGTCAGGGGAACTGGCCGAGTCTGCCCAATCCTATGACCTATTTCATTACTGCCAAAAAGGAGACTTGCAACAAAGTTAGTGTCCCTGGAGTGTGGCTGCACAAATTATTCTCCACCAATTCCTGAGTCCTTTAGAAGTCCCTGCACTCCAGGCTCCTCCTCAGCCCAATGCACATATCAAAGCCTCTGTGTCACACAGCTCGCACCTCCCCTAGGAGACTAGCCTGGTCCTGGGGCTTCGGGTTAGGGGCTCGGGCTGGATGAAGGCTGGAAACCACCCAACTGAACAGTAAATAAAAATGCTTTCATGTCTAGGGTCAGCCTCCCACCTACAACACACTCAGCCCCGACTCAAATCAGGGGCAAACACAGCTGGCTGCAGCACGCTGTGGAGATTCCAGGGCAGTGCTGAGAAAATGCATCAGCCCCTGTGCACCTCCGAGCCTGGCCCAGCGGGGCAGTTCCTTCCCCATGGTGATCCCTTCATCTTCTGCATGTCAGGAGCACAGAGAGGTTCCGCTGTGCCGCAAGCAGGCAGAGCCCAAGCACAGGTGTGAAGCTGACTTCTTTTCCCGAGGGACCTGGTTTGATATTCTCGTATCCTCTTGTTTTAGCTCTGACCTATGTCCAAACTGGCCACAGATGCAATGCCCCATTCACCCCCAAGGTGTTGCTGTGTGGGCCAACAGGCAGTGGGAAGAGCCTGCAAGCTGCCCTTCTGGCCCAGAAATACGGCCTTGTGGACAGTGAGTATCTCGCCCAAAGCATGGCTTCCTGCCTTCTTCCATCCCCAGGCGCCGTGTGGTCCTGGCCAGTGGGGAAGACCCAGTAACAATTCTCTTTTTTGCTCTCACTTCTTAACCCTTCCCACTTTCTTCACCTCTGTAGGGATAAATTTTCCTTTAAAGGGCATGGCCATAAAGACATTAACCAATAAAACATGGCCAGGGCCCAAAGGGCCGAACATTTTCTAGCTGTTGATTTTCACATCCTCTGGAGTACTCTTCGACGTCCTTCCAGGTGCTTCCAAATGGCCCCTTACTAGGCCCTGCTGTTTTATTCACGGCCTGGCTCAGCTCTCCTAACCCAGGTCAGTGTGACAACAGGCAACGCTTTCTGCACCAGAGGAAGCGTCCCTCGCTGCACAGTTTCAATAAATATTTCACCAGGCAGAGAGAAAAATATTGAAATCAGCTCTCCGGGTCTTTGCTGAGGTGGTCCCAGGCGGCCTTGGCTGCTGGCCCGAGTTAGCGGGATCAAGGGCTGGGAAGGAGGGAGAAGCCGCTGCAGCCCTCAGAATGGCACTGGGGGCATTTAAAGGTGCAGCCTCTGTGTGCCACAGCCCAACTAACTTCTCAGAAAACTACTTCGCACTACACACAAATACGCACATCCACTCCCCAAACAGTACACACATGCAAATGTATCTAAAGATAGATTATAATCATGGCCATATTCTGAATAAAATGAGCATCCTTTTCCTTTAAGTCTTCTGTCCATTAACGACGTGACGGCATGAGGTGGAGAGTGACTTACCCACAGTCTCCAGGCGCCATTTCTTGGTAGGATGCGGGTTTCCACCTCTCATTTCCTCTCAGCCTGAAGAACTTCCTTTAACACTTCTTTCCTTTATCCACCAGTGACAAATTCTCTCTCCTTTCATACATCTGAAAATATCATTTTCTTGCCTTCATTTCTGAAGAATGCTTGTTACATATAGGAGTCTGTGCTGGCAGACTTGGCTGTGCTTTTTTCCCCGCTCTCAGTACTTTGAAGGTGTCATTTCACTGTCTTCCGGCCTGCGTGTTCTGATGAGAACGCAGATTATTTTGTGTCCTGTCACCCTGCCTATAGAAGCAGGTTTTCTCCCCCTCTGGCTGCTTTTAGTGTTTTTTTTTTTTTTCCTTGTTGGCTTTTAGCAATCTGAGTGCAGTTGTGTAAAGGAAGGCTTACTGTGTGTTTGCTCTTCTTGGGTGTTGTATCTGTCACCCAAATCTGAAATTCTGCCACCACATTTTTCTGGGTGTTTTATGTCCCTCTTCCCCTCTGCCAGCCTGCTGGGACTCTGGTGATGTATGTTACCTGCCCATCACAGCCCTGTCCTGTCGGCCACCCTGGCCTGTGCTGTTTTAGATTCTTCCGTTCTGCTTTTCCTGCCTTTACTTTTCTCGTACCCACTGGACAGATCCACGTTTCTCATTTTCCAGACTGTGCTGTCCAGTTCCAGGATGGTCATGTGGTTCCGTTTGTCTGCTGAAGGTCCCCATCTGTTTACTCATTTTAACCACTTTTTCCTTTAAGGTTGAAAACATGCTTGTGCCCGCCTGCTCTGAAGCCTTGGTTTGCTAACTCTGATATCTGTTGTCTGTTGGCCTGACTCTATGGTCCGTTTCCTTTCTTGCAAATGTTTGCATTTTTCTATTTTTTCCGGCAATTTTCACTTTCATGCTTGGACACTTTGTGCTTGCATTGAGAGTCGATTCTGTGCTTCTGTGTTAAGAGTTTTAAGTTCAGGGCCAGCAGGGTGGCTCCGTGTACCTACTGGCACACAGGCCTCATGGCCTGAATTCTAACCCCAGATCCAACAAGACAGTGGAGAAAAACTGACTCCTGAGAGCTTTTCTTTAACTTCTACACATGTGCTAAGAGAGCTGCATGCCTGTGCACATGTGTGCGCGCGCGCGCACACACACACACACACACACACACACACACACACATTCTAGAAAATCAGGTGACAAGGATCATAGCCACAGGCTTCCTGTTTCCTGGAGCTGAAAAGCATGGCTTCCCATCTTCCTCTGGTTCCCTGGCTTCCTAAGGGAGCTCGCATATGCTGCTCACTGCCCTGCCCCAGCCCAAATTGGAGGCTGAGTACTGGGTTCAGTGTGGTACAGACCCACATTTGGGTGCCAGCCTGGTCACTAACTGGCTCTGTGGCTGGGGTTATCAGCTCTTTGACTCTCAGTTTCCTTGTAAAAGGGCATTGGCTCATTGTCAGGACTGAATAATCAAAGGAAACAGCACAGTGCTCCGCAGACAGACTCTCCTACACCCGTCTGCGTCTGTGTTTTCCTCAGCTGGGGGAGCTGCCAACCACAGCGCAGAGCAGATTTCTGAGGACTCAGTCTGCCGTGGTTGGTCTTTGTCTTACCTGTTCATGCTATGCAGATCGCTTCACTGTGCTTTCTTTAGCATGGACAAGAAGATACTGAGCTGAAGCCTATAAAGCCCAGATTGCACAACTCGATGCAGCTTGTATGCCTTCTGGCTGGCACTGGAAAGGTGGCTCAGTGGTTAAGTGCTACACAAGCCCCACCCCCTCACATAACAGGCCAGGTGCCCCATGCACATCTATAACCACAGCTCCAAAGATCTGTCAGAAAGATCTCTGGGGCTTTCTGGCTTCCAGGTTCAAAGAGAGACCCTGAGTCAAAGGAATAGGCAGTGAGTAATAGAAGACACCTGATGCCCACTTCTGACTTTTGCACACGTGTGTGAAAACACACACACAGACATACACATACAAACACTGGGGCTGAGGAGTTGTTAAGAGCATGTTCTGTTCTTACAGAGGATCTGAGTTGGGTTCCCAGTGCCCATGTCAGGTGGCTCACATCTGTCTGTAACTCCAGATCCAGGGCCTCTTCTGGCCTCTTCTGGCCTAAAGAAGAGATTTGCACATGTGCACAGACACACAGGTATATGAATCATTAAAGAACAACCCTGGCTGGGTGGTGGTGGTGGCAGCACACACTTCTAATCCCACTTGGGAGACAGAGGCAGGCAGATCTCTGTGAGTTCAAGACCAGCCTGGTTTACAGAGTAATTTCCAGGCCAGCCACAGCTACACAGAGAAACCCTGTTTCATAAAACAGAATAAACAAAAACCCACCCTGGCTTTGTGTAGGGATGAAAGCCTGTGGGTTTTGTTGCTGGTTTTTTGTTTGTTTTGTTTTTATTCAGTATTCACTGACCAACATTTCCCAGGTGCTGGCCATGATTGAATGGGGCCAGACAGAAAAGGCCCTGCTGCCGTGGGCATGCAGCCAAGGGGAATGACAAACGTGGCAGCCACCAGGCCTCCGCCAGGGTCTTCAGTCATGAGTCTGTGTGTCTGGGCTATCCCTTGGTCCTTTTGTGAACCAGGCCAAGTGGAAGGGCTGGGTTATCACCATGCTTCCTGACATCCTTGCGTCAAAACACTCTGAGTGTGAACACTGCGTGCTGTTCCCCCTCTGCAGCCCAGAGAGCACCCAGTCTGCCTGGCAATTCCAGGCCTAGCCAGGGCCCTGCAGGAGCCTACCTGTCGGTGACAGCCTCGTTAGTGTCTTCCTGAGTGGCCCATTTTTAATGTTCTTTGGCAAATGCATTCCTTTTCATTCTCCTTCTCCCTCTCCCTTCATTTCCAACTTCCCTTTTGATATTTACTTCCTCTTGGACACACACACACACACAACACCCTTTTATATTTTTTTCAGCGACCTTTCCCAACCCAGCAGGCAGTGTGAGCTGGAGTGTCTTTTTTCTCATCCTTCCTTCTATTTAAAATTTAACAGTGTCTCTGCCCTTCTCCCCTCAGTCTGCTGCGGGCAGCTGCTGAAGGAAGCTGTGGCAGCCAAGACAGCCTTCGGGGAACTCATCCAGCCATTCTTTGAAAAACGGATGACAGGTAGGCCATGATTTCCACTAACTGCCTCTGCCTAGTGGCTCCAGGGCAGGTGCTCTGTTCACCTGTGGGCATAGGTAGGGGAAAGGGGGACCGGGCATTTGGGGATGAAGATGTGCCATGGTTGTGGCTTGTTTTCTAAGGAGTGGCATCCACACCTGATCCCATGCCAGGTAAGTCACAGATGTGGTGGCTTGCCACTGGTGGTTTAGAACATTCCATTTCTTCCTGTTTAGAAGGTTCACGTTTCACAGCTAGTAGTGTGTAATCCCGCAGCGTTTACAGAGTGGGGTACGCAAGTCAGCTGCTGGAAGCCAGGAAGTTCTGATAGCTGTACTAATTCCAGGATGAACCAGAGAAGGGCTTGATAGGGAGATGGTGTCATCTTTCCAAGTCCCCTGTGATTGTCCACATTCTGAAAGCATTCTTGGGTCTACTCTCCAGAAAGGCACCTCTGAGTTCTTGCTAGGCCGGCTTCCCACGGCAGCACCACATAAACTGGGCATGGTGATGCACACCCAAAATCCCAGAGCTTGGGAGGTGAAGCTCACTCTCAACTTCATGATGAGTTTAAGGTTAGCCTGGGCCATGTGGGACCCTACCTCAAAAAGAAAAAAGTAATAATAATAAAATAAAAACAGTAGCAGCAAGCACGTGGCACCGATGTGTGTCTGTGAGTCTGACCCTAACACAGTGCCAGGTTCCACGCTGCAGATATGTGGACTGAATGAATGAGAAGGATGCCAAGGCATGTAGCTGCATGGCCTTGGCTTTTGCCCTGTGCCATGCTGTTTATGCCTATGTGAAAAACTAAGCTCCCCACCAGTGAGGACCTCAGAGATCAGAACCAAAGACCAAGCCAAGGGGAAAGAGTCTGCACAGTCATGGGCCTTCCCAGGGGTGTACCCTTTGACCCTTCATGTACCATGCCCCTGTGTTTTTTCCCCAAAATATGAAATTATAAAACAGTAAGCATTTGAGTGGTTTCCAAGTTTGCACCCACCTCTGGTTGTCACCAGCATGTTTGTCTGCTGTTGTGGTTCGAGACAACACAAGTTTATTTTATTATGGAGGCCAGAAATCCCCAACCAACTGTTCACCTGCCTTCTCCCAGCTTCGAGAGGCTTCCGGGATCCCTCCACTGCTAGACCCAACTCCGTCTTCAAAGCCGAGCAGTGTGGCACATTTGTGTCCCACTCTGTCACTCTCTCTCTCTCTCTGACTATCCCTCCCTTTTCTGCTTCTCTATGTGGGCCTGCTCCATGTGTAGACCAGGCAGGCTTGAACTCAAACAGATCTGCCTGCCTCTGCCTGGTGAATGCTGGGATAAAAGATGTGCACATCACACCGAGCTATTCTTGGATTCTTCTCCCAAGGACTGAAATAATGACTCACACAGCTGTGCAAAAGTAGAAAGGAAAGTTCATTTAAAAGCAAAGCAGTAGTGCATATCAGAAGCGCCCTGACAAGATGGACAGAAGCTACGTGAGTGGTTATTGTTCGAGCCTTTCTTTTTATAGGTTTCAAAGGAGGAGGAGTTTGGTTGCTAAGGAGCATAGTGAGGAGCTGGTCTGCATTTTGATGCATGGATTTTGACTGTGTAAACCTTTGTGCACTGTGCATATCCTTTCCATAGTGCATCTGGCTTTAATCACTCACTTAGGCGTAGGCATAAGATGGTAAATAGGGAACTCACCCTAAAAATGGCCTCAGGCACAGTTTTTCTTACTGTATGTGAACCTAAAACCAGTCTAATCTAGCACAACCCGTAAGCCTATAGTGTTGGATTGTGTTAGGATATGACTGAGTGGAGATGGGGTGTTATCAAGGGACCACTAAGGGGAGCGTACAGGTTAGTTTTCTGTCACCCCAAATCTAGACATACCTGGCAAGATAAAGTCTCAATGGAGAAGTTACCTCCATCAGGTTGGCCTATGGGCGTGTCTGTGGTTTGTTTCTTGGTTGATATGGGAGCCTGCTGTGGGTGAAGTCATCCCCAGGCTGATGGAACATGGCTGTTGAGCAAGCCATGGAGAGCAAGCCAGTAAACAGCATGCCTCCATGGCCTCTGCTTCAGTTCCTGCCTCCAGTTTCCTGCTCTGGCTCTCCTCCATGATGGCCTGCAACCTGTGAGCCTAATAATAAACACTTTCCCCCCTCAAGCAGCAGAAACGAAAGTAGGATAGGGGGTAACCTGTTTCCATCATCTAAAGCAGGCACAGGTGCAATGTGACGCAGGCTGAGGTTCCTAGGCTGCTTAGCACGGGCAGGAGCATTGTCTGCGGAAGAGCACAAGCATGGTCCATGCCAAGTGGACTCCGTGGCTGCTAAACTGTTCCTTACACTTGCTGCCTCAAGGCTACAGATATCCACTGGGGCCTGGAGGATTGTCATTCTGCTTTGCCCATCTCTTAGACCAACACATAACCTGGTTTTAATTGTGACCAGTTTTTGATTACTTGTGACGTTGCTAAGGTTGAATGTAATTTGATAATGGGTCTGTGTATTTTCAGTTTTTGTGAGTTGCTGTGGCTTGTGTTTCTCTTTACCTAATTTTTATTTGTTTTATTACAGTGCCAGAGCTAGAACCCAGGCCTAGCACTAGGCAAGTGCCCTGCCAATGCCCATGCCCTAGCCCTACTGTCAGTGAAAGTCTGAGCTGTTTGTTCAGCTTGGTTGCTCGTGAGCACTATTGAGTGCTGTTATTGATTTTCCCACCAGGTCCTTATACCATCTATATATGTCAGGTCACAGGCTAGTTTTGAAGATTTGGTATTGTTGCCAGGAAGTGTGGTGGCTTGTCCCAGCCTCTTGGTTCTCAGGTGTCCTGGAGTGTCACTGTCACCCAGGAAGTCCTCCTAGGGTGCTGCTTATTTCTCTTTTGTGGGGTCCTGGGGCATACAGCCCTCTAGTTTTCTCCCTCTGCCCTTCTCTTTGGGAGTGGGTGCCAGGCTTTTGACTTACCTCAGAGAGTATCTAAGGTGTAACTGGGAACAGTGGGGAGGCACTTCCCCTCAGCAGATCTGGCTCATCACTGCATTCAGTGGCTCCTTCAGCCTCTGCCCAGACAAGTGGAGGAGGCCCTGCCGAGAGCTCAGCTGACAGGTGTGGCTTTCACCAGGATCTGGGGTCTTGCGAATATGGAGACAGGTGTGTGTTTCTCCGGATGGCTCCCGTCCTCCGTGTTTTGTGCTGTTTTATCCCTCCACGGCTTTGTGTTTGTCTAGACCGTATACCACTATCCGTTCACACTTCCTACAAATTAATGACCCAACCACTGCCAATATCATACCTTCCCAACAGAAGCAATAAATTCTGCCGCCTTGTCCCACTAAGTCCAATCTCACAGGCATAGCAAGAAGTACATTTACATAATGTCACCACTCAGGGCCTCATTAGTGGCTTCAGAGTAGCTGCCAAGCCAGCCAGAGCGGTGGGCCTGACGAGGGGACACGAGCATCGCACAAGCTGGAGGGGCCACTGCCGAAAAGCTGGGATAGGAGGTGGCGAGTGATTCTCCACAGCTGAGCTTTGAGAGGGCTGCCTGGCCATCCACGGCCACTACTTCCGAGTCACTGCTATCGACAGCCTAGAGTAGCTCCTACCACGGTGACACAGAACCAGCCAGGACAAGCTCCTCCAGGCTCCCACTGCCTAGACTTTCCTGCCATGATAGGCTGTACCTGTCAGAATAAACCATTTCTTCTGTGAGTTGATTTTGTTAGTGTTTTATCATAGCAACAGGAAAAGAAACTGGGTCAGATCCCATGAAAAGGCAGCTTCCACCCACCCCCTCCGCCAGCAGGGACAACCGTAGGCTGGGACTGGAAAGTAGATTGTGGTTGGGGTCTGACTGAGATCATAGCCTTCCAAGCCTGGTGAAAGACACCCAGAATGTCCACATCCTGATGGTGGACTGTGCGATGGGCTGTCAGACCTGCTGAGCAGAGGCAGCGGGTGGAAGGCCCCTCCTGAAGGAGGCCCTGTCATGTCTTCTTACACAGCTGTCAGAAAGTACCTCTTGGATGCTGTAGGTGCACTTTGTCACACTTTATATTCAGAAGAGGGAGACCATAGCTGCCCCTCCATCACTTACAGTATATGTGTGTGTGTGTGTGTGTGTGTATTTGTGTGTGTTTGTTTATCTGTATATCTGTATGTGTGTGTGTGTATGTGTGTACATGGGAGTCTATCCAGGGATCTCAGATGGCCCTCTTCAGTTTCCCAGTCATGTTCTAGTACCTTTGCCCAGAGTGCCTGCAGCAGTCTTAGGAATATGGAAACACCAATTACGAGTTTTTCCAAGGGTGATCAAGACCCACCAGGTAGAGAGTTTTGCTAACCAGGCAGAGAGGATGTCAAGGAATGTGTCACATGACTGAAATCACAGTGCTTAGAAGGCAGTGTGAGGAGGAATAAGAGTTCAAGGTCATTCTCAGCTACATAGCTTAAGTTTGGGGTTTTGAGTTTGTTCTTGATTTTTTTTGTTGTTGTTGGGTTTTGTCCTGTGTAGCCCTGGCTGTTTGACCTTGAACTCAGAGATCTTCCTGCCTCTTCCTCCCAAGTGCTGGAATTAAAGGCGTGCTGCTGCCGACACTGGCACTGGTTTATAGCTCATTTGAAGCCAGCCTGGAGCTACATGAAATCTTGTAGCAAATGAAAAAATATATAAATAAAAGTGAAAAGACAGAGAGACACCACTGTGGCCCAGAAGTCCCTGGGACCTCTGAGCTGATTGGTGTCCAGCCACCCTTGCAGTCCTGTCACTGGCTCAGCCGGGGGGATCCAAATGTCATCTTTCCCCATGCAACCACTTCCTCCTGAGTCCCCCGACAGGCCTCATGATGCTGTGTCCCAGCTGTGACCTCTACAGACTTGGTGATGTCCTCACAGAGGCTGCCAACACCTCTTTCCTCTGGAATCAGCAGCAACATTAATAACTGTACATTCACTTCCCCATCTTTCCACATTTTCTGGGCAAAGGACTCCAGGGCAGCAGCGCC